ACAAATGTATAGATGTGCTTTACACAATTGATCTATGTATTGTGATAAATTGTATGAGCCCCAATAAATTGATTAATTAAAAAAATAAAAATAAATAAATAAAAAATATATATATATATTTATATCTAACTCTGCCCACACTACTTGAAATTTTTAGCAAAATGATGAATCCAAACATAGCATAACCAGAAATTCATAATGAAATAAAATGTACCTTTCTTCTGTGTAGCAAAATTCAGTGCCAATTGTGCAAAAAGATCTGGATTTTCAAACTTGTCTTCCTTAACTTTCAACCAAAAACAGTTCTCAGACAATTCTCTGGGCTCAACCTAGAAAATAAGTAAATAAATGAATAATACATAAGTTTCTTGATTATTATCTCATATTTAATTTTTCAAAATAATCATTTTCAGCAAGGTTGAATAAGTTTTCATTTAGCTATCCATGAGGTCAAATTTACAATATATCCAAATGACACTTTTAAATATTATCTTAGGAATTTCTTAGAATCTAAATGGTGTAGATAAAGGTATCCAACAATGATGCATGATATAGCAAATTATATATAATTTTTTCTATAAATAATTGACTAAAGCCATCCTTTAACTCTTTGGTCTTGGGTTTTCATTTAATGAGAATGCTGGCACAGAACTTAAGAGTTTATAGGTTAGCTTGAAATTAGTCACCGTAATGATAGCTGATACTGAAACATCTGCAACATGTGTTCTATGCTATTCTGAATAATTTACGTACATAGATTTGTTTGGTCTTAAAAATGAATCCTTTCAAAAAGGTCCCTTTTATTCTATACATAGTAAAGATGGTGAAACTGACACTCAGAAAGTTTCAGCGTCTGCTGAATATCACACAATTTACTTAATTCAGAGCTGGGGTATAAACTCAGGCCACCTAGATATTACAATGGAACAGAGTAGACAACCTTAAATGTAGACCCTAGATACAGAAAATTATGCTCATAGCTACTACTGAAACCAAATATTAGAACTATCCTCTTCACAGTGCATCATAATGCTCTGTAATACATAAATGTCATGCTATATCATATTCATTATCACATTTACACAGATAACTTGACCAACAGCTTCTACAGGCTATATTTTGGTACATCTTGATTCCTACGCAAAGACTCCATTACAATTCAATTCCTCATTTACTCTAATGAGCCAAGTTGGGATATTTTACAAACTGATGTTGAACCTCTACTATAGCCACAATAGTCAAAAGAGATTAGTGCTGCTAGAATGATAGATACCTTGACAAAGGTAACAAAATAGACAGCCCAGAAATAAATCTATCCACCTACAGAAAACTGATCTTTAAAAAAGGGCAAAACTATATTAAATGGGTGAGGGGATACAAACAGAAGAATGAAACATTAACCATATCTCACTCCAAACACAAAAATAGACACAACATGATTAAGGTTTTTAGATTAAAAACCTAAACATAACCTTTAAAACAATAAGTGTCATCAATGAAAATACAGGGACAAACTTAAACGCCATAATATACAGGGTATAAACACACTACCAAACATAATGAAAATCACACACAGAACACAAGTGTGCATGCAGCAAAAGACTTCATCTAAGAGCAAAATGAGAACCCATAGATTGGAAAAACATTGCTGGAAATGATACATTGCATAAGGGATGAATACGAGGAGGCACCCTCCAAAAAATGGGAGGAAGCTCCACTGGGCAGAGCTTTCTTAGTATGCATTTTTCCTGCTAGGTGAGCATCCAGAAACTTTTTCTGTTAGTGCACCCAGTAGTGTCTCCTGGGGAAGTTCTCTCTGGTCACAGGGAACGTTTTCGTAAAAGCAGTTCCACTCAAACCTTGTTTTTTGGAATGGCCAATTTAAGAGAACAGCGTGTGGCTGTGAAATGTTTTTTCCTGCTTGGGAAAAATGCAGCAGAAACTTTTGTGATGTTGAACAAAGCTTACAAGGATGGTGCTATGGGGAAAACTAAAGTGTACAAGTGGGTTTCTAATTTCAAAAGAGGTGAAATGTAGGTTGATGACAAATTCCATTCTGGACATCCGTCAACTTCCCGAATGGACAAAAATGTCAAAAACTTTCATGCACTAGTGTTCAAAGACCAAGTGTGGAAAATGGAAGAGATAGGGAAGTTATCTGGACTATTCTGGAGCTCAGTTTAGTGAATTTTAATGGAATATTGGAGAATGAGAAGGGTCACTGTGAAATCTGTGCCTCGGATTCTGACTGACCAGGAAGAAGAGTGTCAAGTGGAAACATGCCATGCTGTAAAAGAACAGCTCCGAAGTAACCCAGACTTTTTCCCCATGGCCATTACTGGTGATCAGACATGGTGCTGTTCTTACGACTCCAAAAACAAACACAGTCAAGCCAGTGGAAGATGCCCCACAAAGCTCATCAAGTGAAATCAAAGATCAAGATGATGCCCCTTTGTTTTTTGATGTGAGGATGATAATGCATTTGGAGTTTGTGCCACTAGGTCAGACTGTTCATCAAGCTTTCTACTTGTTCTGGAAAGATTACAAAACAGTGTGTGACCCAAAAAAGGCCTGATTTCTGGTAGATGGGGGACTGCTTTTGCCATCACCACAATGCACTACTCACGAAGCTATCTCAGTGTGCCAATTTTTGGCCAACCCCCCCCCACCGCCCCAAAACCCAGCATGCCTCTCTTGCCCCATGGACCTGACTCATCTGACCTCACTTTGTGCAACTTCTTTTAGTTTTCGCGAATGATGCGGGACATGAAAGGACAGTGATTTGATGATGTAGAAGAGGTGAAGAAAAAAACAGGGAGGTTTGACAGATGAGTTTGAAAAATGTTTCCAAGAATGGAATAGTAGATTTGACAAATGTATTACGTGTAATGGAGAATAGTTTTAAGGTGATAAGGTTCTTTTGTAAAAAAGAAAAGAAAACAAAACAAAACAACATACATAGCTTTGGGAGGGGAGTTCTGCTTTTTGGGGGGTTAGCCATTCTTATTAAAAATCTGTTAAAAAAATACAACACCTTAACAAGAAAGAGACAAAAAAAATCCAATAAAAATTCGACAAGAGTACATGAATATACAGTTCACCAAAGGACGTTCAGGCAAGCCACAAATCTATAAATACAATAAGTAGCTCTTCCAGAGAATCAAATCATGACAATAATGCAATACCACCTTAAATACACACTGATGGCAAAGTTAAAATACGGAAAAAGGAAAATACCGAATGGTGGACAGCTGCTGGGGGGACTGTAAATGTGTACAACAGCTGTGGAAACTGGCATGGCACTTCCTCAATCAAAATGGGAAGAAATATACTGTATCATTCAGTGATCTCTCAACTTATTGTATACCCAAATTAAATAAGGAGCAAAATATGAACATATACACTCCCATGTCCATGACAGCATTATTCACAAGAGCAGGCGGATGGAGACAACCTAAATGCCTGTCAGTAAAAGAACAGATGAATAAACCATGGCATACACACGCACAATGGATTACCAGACCCAGCTAATAAATACTGGTGTAATTGTCAAGCACCTAATGAGATCAATGGATTTGAAGTTATTTAATTACATAGAGACAAAATTTGTAAGAGACCACTATTATGAGAGAATTAAATGCAGGAAAAAGTTTTCAGACAAAAAGAAACAATCTTTGACTTTCATGGGAATGAAGGGGAAAGGAGGGATGAAGAAGCAAATAAACGAGTAAACTAAAAAGAAAAGAGAGATTGAAAAACACTAAAATAGCACAGTGTTCAAGGAAATAAAATTAAAATGTAAATTGACTTGGCATTATTCTGATCCTAAAAATTTACCAAAAAGCACCGTGAGATATCACTGTAGGTCTGACCTTAGATGAGTTATTTCCTCCAAATAGTGGTTTGAGTAATAATATTTTCTTTAAAAGAGTGGTGGTTCCTGGTTAATAAGGAATGTATCAACTTTTATAATGAGCTTTTTAAAAGATCTATTTCAAAACATATTTTTGTGGCAAAGGAAAATATGTTTCAGAAGAAAACACGTTTCTCATCATATTAGAACAATAAGGTTATGTTACTGTATATGGTCAACTATTTCACACTATCTCCATGTTTAAAATGGAATCAAAAGAAAACTGCAATCTCTAAAAGCAAAAATAAATAAGGTTCAATAATTTTAAAAGAGATTATATATGAAAAGGTTATGCTACATAAAGTTAACAATGGTAAAATTATCAAAATGGGTTTTCATTGGAATATATTATTCTGAATGTTATTCTTTAAGTCACTGTATTGATTTATATTGATTCTATATTAATTTGAAATGCTGTGTGAAATTTTAGAGCTATCTAAATACTATGCAAAGTAAAGCAAGTGTAAGCAGTCATATTCTCAAACATTATTACAATAGTTCTATCTAAAAATGGGCTTTGTACCATATTAATGTTCCCCAATGTCTAGAAAAACAAAGAAAAGCACAATAAAACCCTCTAGTTATAGTATTACCTTCGACCAATTGATTCTTTTCATGGACACCTCAGGCTTATATATCTTTTTCTGTTTCATTCCATAAGGTAGATCAATTGGTCCTCCTGGGGGAAGAGGAACTCCTCCTAGTGGTGGCGGTAGAGGAGGTCCCATGAACAAAGGTGGTGGTGGTGGAGGTACACCACTCACTCCAGCTGAAGGAAGTGGAGGAGGAGGAGGAGGTGGAGGAGGTCCTGCTCCAGGTAGAGGGGGTGGAGGTGGAGGTGGTGGTACACAAGGTAATGAAGGTGCTGGAGGAGGAATTCCTGATGCACCCTGAAATATATATAACCCAATGTTTAAGTGTTAGTAATAAAATATAACCAAAAAAATACAACTCAGTAAACCGATGGAGTTTAATTATTTTAAGATCATATGTTCTTTAATTCAGCAACATCTAAATGCTAAAAAATACATAAACCTCTGATAAGCATTAAAGCCTCTGGAAAATGCCTACTTTTTCTAGCACACTAATGTTAGCAAAGATGAGATTTTCACATTTTTTGGAATATTCTTCAAAAACCATGAAAACGTATGCTTTGTTATAAACATATAATAAACAAGTACTCTATACGGATTAGGTAGGTTAGTCTACTTGGGTTGTTGAATAGTATAATTAATGTGAGGTCATGGATTTGATTCCTTTGGTAGCCAATTAGCTTTCACAATGTCTATCTCACAGCATCAGTAATTTAGCCATCTCCTAATACCAATAGTTAATAATAAAGAACATCCAATGGCATTGTAATATATGCGCAGGTTTATCAACATTTCTAAATTATTTCTTTTGATTCATATTACAACCCTGTAACAAAGGCAGATGGGTCCTTGGGTGGCAAAAGTGGTTAATTGCTCCACTGTAAACCAAAAGTTTGGCAGTCTGAAACACACCCAGCAGTGCCTCACATGAAAAATCTCGTGCTCTAATTATAAAACATCCGTCACTGAAAACACTATGAAGCTATGTAATTCCATTATAACACACATGGGACAGAACTGACTACACAGTACCTAGTTTTTGTGAGATTGTTTTAAAAATGTAGTTTTGATGCTCTTGCTAATATGAAGACATGAAAAACTGGAAAAGTTGGGACTAACCAAATTTCCGAGACTGAAATATGAGGAGGGCTTGAATTCAGGCCTCCTTCTCTTGTAGCAGACTTATTGCTCTTATTTTCCTTACTTGCCTTTGAGTCTGTTCTCCATAGTGTTTTCAAAGGGAAACCTTTTAACTAGCAGTCTACTGACCGCTTAACCATTTGTGCTACCCAGGTGCTTCTTCTCACGAACGCACTTCATTTGCCATGAGGATTGAATTCTATGGCGGGTATAACATATTTTTATTACCAGAAAGCAGTTTCAAATCCATTCTCTAATGATAATAGATGACAAATGAAAGAGAGCATGTCTTCTCTGGTGATGATTAATTTGCTCTAGTTTATTTTATCCTATGATGGACAAGAATAACTCACTTTCCAAAATAAATGAAAAGTTCCTAATAAACTCCTACCATTGAACAATCATTCTTGGCCTTGCATTAGAAATAGTTAAAACAAATGAAATTTCATGGTAATTTCACTGGAGAGAAAGTGATATTATTTTTATTATTATAAATTTTCCAATTCCATTATTTAATTGTACAATAAATTAAAAAAATAATAAATCAAAGCTCTCTGTTAGTGTAGCATAATTTTGGCACAATTAATTAAAAGAATCAAGATATTTACAAGAATATTAAATAGTTAAAAAGCAATAAATAGATAGGCATGATCACACGAAAAACTTTTCAAAATAGTCACGGACCACTGATCAAATATTTTATTCATATATGAATAAAATTTTTGCAAATAAGTACACATACAACTAATGAAGTATATTTATGTACTTAACTAATGACAAAATTCTCCTAAGGTTAGGCAGAAATTAAATACAGAAAATAATATGCAAAGCTCTTTTCAAGGTATTTGTAATGCAGTAAAATTATAGTTTAAAAAATTGATTGAAACAAAAGAAATCCTGTGGAAAATTACCATGCTTTTCCTGAAGTTTTTAAAGAAATTAGTAATTCACCCAGCAAATTTTGAGACAAATAGATTTTTCATAAAAAATCAAAGTGCAAAATATTTATCTGACTTTTTTTGATACACAACAAAATTTAAAGGAATATGCTGTGTGAACATCAGTCATTTAAAACTTATTAGATTTTGTAATGTCATAAAACTGGTTACTATAAAAATGTTACCACTTTAACACCAAATTTTACTTAAGCCAAATATATATTATACTGATTAAAGAAGTAATGTTTATGTTAAATGTCAAAGAACTTCAAAATCAAATCATAGCATTTTTACTTTCCGCCGAAGAAGATATAACAATTCAGTGATTCAATCAGGCCACAGCGTCCTATTGTACCTGACATATGCAAAATGAGTGTTTTATTTGATGTATTTACAGCAATAAAATGTGTTGTATGATTTTTTGCTTTTACAGTTAATTTAATATTAAATAAGCATCGACTCACTAAATAGCAAAACTTACATTAGTGCACTATGAGCTTGAATGAAAACTAGAGTATGTATCTTGGCTTTCATACAACTAAAGATCTTAATTATACAAATGAACATAGACAGGCCTAACAAGATTAATGAGGCAAAACAAAGACCGTAATAGTATGGGAAGGAAATAGTAAAGCACTAGAGGATAGTTAAGTCTTTCATCAGTCCTAGCCAACATAGATAACCCTTCAGAAACCATAATGGGAGTAATGATTCCCTGAGG